TACTCACTTCACCACCGAGCCTTCCGCTCTGCCCATTTATATTAGCCACTTGTGTTAGCGATCACGTCACATTTAGATGTATACTGCCAATATGAGAATAGCCCGATTTTTCATAGATTTCTTTATTATGTAATCTACGAGAATTTTTATTGTACCGCTTTTATGATAGTGCCTTAATGTTGTAACTGCATAACAAAGAATGCGAATGATATGCAGAACATGCAGGCTCAAGTGGGAATAAACTAGCGCTCTACCCTTTTCTTATGATGAATACCTCGCTCGCATTGTGGGTCTCAATCTGCTTCTCAGACTTCGCAGTAGTTAGCATCTTTCCAATTTTTTTGAAGGACGGAATTTTTAACGATTTGCAGAGTACAGTTTTTTTCGAGGAGTTTCATGGAAGCTCTCATAGCGGAAGTCTTGAAATGTCATCATAGGTAAAACAACGACAACCACATGTGTGAGGTAATACCGAAAAAGGTCTTAGTAGCAGACAGTTGATTTATTTGAATAAACAGTGTGCAGGAGGCGAGCAGCGCAGTCTTAACGATGCCGTACATGGTAGTTCTGTTCTAATTGAGCAGTACCATTCCTGGGTCTTTATCATATAGAGTCACCTATTTCTGTAGATGAGAAGAACTATTTCTAGGAAATGGTGGTCTCAAGCTGTTCATGAAAAGTACAAGTGGTTTCTCTACTTTGAGCGAGATAAAACTGGGGATCATTTTAGTATGACGTATCTAACCGCTGCGCTTCTTGTGCCCTCTAACGATACAGTTAAAAAATCAAAATATTGTTTCCTTCACTCAGAGTTTTCATTTTATGACAAAGACTCATGGAAAAAGCTTGTTACTGACATAGCTTATATTCTGACAAGGAACTAATCGAAGACTCGAAGCACTTTTTAGACCGCTCCGTAAGTGTAATCACTAGTTCATTAGTGAATACGCTTGAACAGCACAACTTGAAAGGTTATTGAAGAGAAAATAATAGTTGTCCGGATTATCCTAAACAAAATTGTTAGAAATGTGCTTTGCCTAATGAATGTGGTCACTAGGCCGGATCTCATCTCAGGACACTCGTTGGAATCAATTACAAGACGCTCTCTTTAACCCTAATTAGTTCGCTGACTAGCTCCAAATCCTCATTTTTCACGAGGAAATGAATACATATGATCTATTGTTAATACTTTATTTACTAATTAAGCTAATACACTAATGCCCGAATGTTAGCTTAAGCCTTGCAGAAAATATTAATTGGCAGTGCTGAAGTTAAGCAAAAGTCGATTTTTAAATCGTCATTTAGTAATTTGCCAAGTGGCTTTCCTTGAACTTCGGACTTATCAATCAAGCAAATATACTTCGCTAAGTAAGCCAGTTGCATAAAATGTTCCAAAACAAATTATTTCTGCTAACGTTCCGACGGGCTTCGTCTTATCCAGAGTTGATACTTTGAGTCTACAGTAGTTCGTACTTGCTGTGCTCTTCGCTCTCGTCTGCTCTGAAGAAGATGAGATATGTTTAGCCGAATAGATTCGTTGTGCAATAACTTTGTCCAACTAACTCATTTAATAGAGAATTTGTGAGTGACCAGTAAATCCGAAGCCCAGGGAAGGTCGATTGTCAAATTATTTCACAGCTTTGCGTATGCCAATAATTTCATAGACATCTACAGGATCAGTTCCTTGAAGAAGCAAGCATATCATTGTACAACCACTATCTTTATTAAAAGAATGGGATTTTGCAAAAATAAAAAATAATGTAAAATTCCATTCAGATGCCGTCTACCTACCGTACACATCGATGAATGACGTCATAGCGCTTGATTGTTTGTCGTCGATTCGGTGGACGATCGAATAACGAAGCCTATTAGCGGCTAGATAGTCCGGCTCGATTCTCAATTTTCACAAGGCCACTTCCATAGAAGATAGCTCTGGTGTATTTGTTGGTCTCCAAGAGATTCATGTGATACCCGAACTATCACTTGCTTTCGGTCGGTCTTCAAAACAATGCGTTTCAGAATACTTCATGTGCATGAGATTTTACCACGTTCCGTGAGCGCATATGAGCAGTATTTTCCACTTCTATCACCCCTATTTTTTCTACTAAAACACTTTGACACTGATTAGGTAAAAATATTTGTTGTCATCTCTTTATCTTTCGTTTTTCTATGCAGTCTAGATATCTGTTGCAATGGTTCACTTTGTAGCAGTGAGTCCTTGCATCGATTCCTTCGACAAGAACAAATAACGAAATTGTTGATGATAATATTATTGGCCACTTGTGTCAATATTTATGCCAAAATCTATAAAACGCTTTCGAAAACGAAACATGAAATAAAGCCTAGAAAATTCTACATCATGTGAATGGGGAGATGTCCAACAAGAAGAATGACAGGAGAAGATGTATGTGCAGAGCGTCAAAGTATTTTTGTTGGATTTTCAATCACTCAAGAGCATTTCAGAAAAGATTCATGGAGGATTATATCTTACATTGTCCGAAATTTCAATCTCTATTCCTTGCTCTATAGCCTTTGTAACCTGAGAGCATATGCCGATCACTCACTTAACCTAATGTTGATTATTTATTCTAATGCTGTTTAGAGAAAAAACTATCTACATCTTACTTAAGCAATTAATCTTTGTGTATTCCGTTTTTTGATTTAACAACTGTTACTTCTATAGCAATTCCAATAATGTATATTTGATCTACTTATGGATTAGCTTTACTAGCTTTAAACACTTTATTTGATCCATCTTCACACTGCTTTTTTTCACTGTGCGCATCCCAGTACTTCTAGCATTCAGTTAGTTTTTTCGTTTTCTTGTTGAACGACGTAGGTTTTTGGTTGAAGCTCCTTGCAGTCTCGAGAGTGGCCTTACTGTGGCGTTCCATAGAGCGCTGTTGTTGACTGCCGGTGAGAGGTGGGGGAGTAGCTCGGCTCCACGTGCGCCGTGACCAACATCCCGACCACTCGGCTACGGAGCCCCCATAAGCTTTGCTAAAGTGCACTCAAACGATCTGCAAGGTCTTATTGGGGTTGAATTTTGGTTTACAGTGAGAGGTCACAACAATGTTTATTTTGCGATAAACTGTTTCATAATTCTCAGTTCCCAGACCATGACACAATCTTTTCTTACTAAGCGATTTTCTATTCAATATGATGACTAAGCCGAGCACCTTTGATCAGATGAGTACAAAGAGCATACGTAGTGTCACGAAGTTCTTATCTTAGAATGAACATTATACTTATTCTGCAAGATGGACTTTACCATCGTGTGCACCAAGTCTCTATGGCAAGGCTGGAAAATCGGTGCATAAGTATATCTCAACGAAAGCGCTAGCAACAAAAGGACACTACTGTGCCTTGAGACTGCTAAACTTTCAAAGGATTTGTGGCTCTTCAAATTTGGAAAAGTTATAGTAGGGCCTTGTAGTTAGCATGCTTGCGCTATAATAGCATAATCTGCAGCTGACTCACATTGAGATGAACACCTTCGATGATATTAGACATCTCAAAATAAAAACAAGGTTTTTATTCGCTAGTAGGAAAATTTGTTGGTATGGTAGATGAGTGTGAAACTCTCGTTCCACCTCACTCATAAATGATAAAACAAAGCGCATATGGCGCAGTGGTTAGAGGTGCTCTGCGTCGCACACGAGGTCAATGGTTCGACCTTGCGCGCATGGCTCACCAGCCCATCCTTCCCTCCGGGGTCGGTAAATTGGTACCAGACTGGTCTCAGACGTGTCTGAGAGAATAAGCAGTACTGACTCGATACAGCGGGAGACCACCGCGAGTCATTGTAAAGGCCAGATATGCATTCAATCATTTCAAACGAAATCAAAAATTGAAGACGAATGCATGGTGCATCCTTCAGGGATTGATCAATGCCAAGAGTTTTTTAACTTCTATGGTAGATAATATGGCCTTGAAAATTATGTTCAAATCATTTGTACAATATCAGCAACTAATCTCACGTTAATGGTTGAGAAAAGTTGAGCATTTCTGACTTTGACCTTATATTATTACTTGCGTCTCTGCACGGAAGACATCATAGGCACCATTGGGCAGCTCAAACACCATGGTTTACTTAAGGAAAATGTCCTAAAGACCTCAAGACTGAGAACATAATTGATTAAGCAAGTAAAGAAGCCGTTTGATTTTATTATGACGGCAGAGAATGTTCCACATCGTTAGTTGAACCGCTAGAGCAAAGTTCTACGAAGGATTGCACCATCGCTTTTTTGCCGCAAAAGATTAAAAGACTCCAAACTTCACAAAGGAAGCCCCATCATTGACTGAGAATTACTTGCACTTTTAGTTGACATTTCAGAAGGTGCGTTATTGACAGAGTGGATTAAGAGAAAGGTCACGTTAACTAATCTCTCACAACAGTATAAGCAATCCGAGAGTTTGTACGCCGCTCTGAAACATTCCTTCTCTGTGCAACTGATGACCGTTCTTTATCGAACCACTGAAATCAGTTCTTACACAAACGTTAAGGAAGACTACAGATGAGGGAATACCTGCAGAGAATTGGAAATGGTAATTTCCAGCTTCCTGCTGTCCACATGGCGATTATTCTTCATCCTTTCAGAAATACCCATAGGCTAAGGTCAGAAATAAATGCACAGTAAAGCTTTTGAAAACTGTGACGTTCTTGTCCACTAAACAGATGTTCTTCGTGAATTTTATGAAATTTTCACTCACAGATTTTTTTCATGCTGCAAAGTCGCCACTATCATGAGGATTCCACAAGACATTAGCAACTCGGCAAAACTCTTCACAACCACTACACGAGAATAGCCACTCGAAATGCAGGTTAAGGTCAATGACTGACTGCAATATTACTTACACTTTTCAATTACATCGATCTTATACACTAAACCAAAGGTCAACTTGAAAATGTTTTGGTAATACTCCGATTTTATAGTATTTTTACTGCATTTTTCGCATTTCATGTACACCTAAGAGAATAGAGTGGTGGGCAAAGACGCGACCTTAGATGAGAGTCGAACCCGTGTCTCATCCATATCGAGAACGCGTGCTACCACTACACTACCGAGGTATATTCGCACCACCACTCATTCTTCAATGGATGGATGAAACACGGATTCGACTCTCGTCTGAAGTCGTATTTTTGCTCACCACTCAATTCTAGATATCATGGTAATTTCACTAACACTCGTAAAAACAGTGGAGAACATAGTAGATCCGGCCTCATACCCATGTCAGTGATTCTATGAGTCCTCCAGCTCCAAATTATGCTTATGATATGTTGCATAACATTTGTCGTTCGATGTTCTCGATCGAAGGAAACCTTGTTCATACAGCGTTTCTTTGAATAGTCATGGACGGAGTATCCACAGCTTTTCACAGAGCCACTGCCCAATACATGTAAAAATCAAAAAAAAATTTATTTCACGTCATGAAACTTGTGTCAAAATCACTTGCTTTATCGAGGCAACAGTTCATTTTGAAAGCTTGGCCTTGTAGAGATGAAAAAGAGAGCTGTTGATGAAAATTTAAGCACAGGTTTCAAGATGACTGACAATTCACAAGACAGCACGGCCGTGTGTTGAACGTCTCCAATGATGCGTCACGCTCCTAATCGGTTCATCCTATATTCACTCTGTCGCTTCTGTTCCTCTAACCAAGGCGAGATATTTGTCTGGCGATTTTTGGCCATCTACTTAATTACGAGATATGCACTCGCCTATTCCGAGTAGTTCCTACGATCCACAAGTTTCGCCCCGACTTACATCGCCCTCTGGTACGCATGTGTTATTGTTTTTCAAATTTCTGCTAGCGGCATTATAAATAGAGAACCTCGGACAACAGTGACAAGTCTTTTGTCTGATCAAAGACTTACAAGAAGTTCTTTGCACTAAGGTGATATTTAGACCGTTCTATCATTAGTTTAAAGAGGAGAACAAGGTGGGATTGAGACTGTGGCGCACTTCTTACTATCATTTATCCTAGTCAACTGAGCTTTTTTAAACTAAAAATCAGCTCAAAGATTCTAATAAGAAGTTTTCAAAGGCTGTTAACATACTTTGTATGAGTCATAGAGCTACATTTTGAAACGAGCAAGACTCCAGGTATTTTCTATGTGCTATAAGTTGATTCTGTTTTCTCTCTATATTTGACAGTTTTTTCTGAAGTGTAGCGTGTCTAGTACCGATGAAATCATTCTGAGGAATTGAAATTTATTCTTACGAGGTACTCTCCATTTTAGGCTCTTTGAGCAGCTTTTCTTGAAATACTTCACTCCAATGCAAGCGTTTATGACAAGACTAATGAAGTAAGGAGTGATTGGCGTAAACGAGAACATCAAGAACGAATAGTTTCGAAATCACGTATAAACAGCAAAATTCTGTTCATCGAAATTGTTCTCGAAGCTAAACTCTTACAATACTCTACTAATAAGTAGTCAGCTTCTCTAAGCGTCACTTATCAAATTTATGACTAACTATTCTCCTTTATGGCTAGATGGTCGTACCCATGCCGTCCAAACAAAAAAAAAACAAAGAAACGAACTTCTATAGACATGTTCCCCCGTAAACCTTTCCATACCAGGAGTTGCTATTTGATTTTATGGCACAACAAAAAACAAAAAATTGGAAGCATCCCAACTTTTTTAGTATAAAAAAGGTTTTGTTCCTACTCAGTGAAATATAGTAGTGCCTATTAGGCGACTTCCGCGATCCGCCTAATTGCCAGAGACGCGACGATGACGATGAAGAACGTTAGTTGCCTTCATCAGCAGATTTTATCCCCTTCATCCACCCCCTTTCTTTGTTAATTCATCATTGTCTATTATTTTCAATTTTTTGTAAATTATGCGCACAGGCGTGTTCTTGATTTACTTGATCAATTTGATCCCATCCTTTTGTCCAAATCTTCTTTACTCTATACGACCCTCATACGGCTCACATTCTCCTGCGCATCCTTGTGCTTTTCTAGTTGCAAAAGAAGATCGAATATACTTCCCGATTTTGTATTTTCTCGGAAAAGCTATGATCAAGAGTATTGTAAATCAACTGTTCTTCAATCCCATCATCACCAATCAACATATTTTCTTTGTAGATTGAACTTGTTGCACGAAGTGGGCAAATAGTAATTTTAATCTCGCAATCGACTATCATCGGTTTTGAGGAAGATGACACCCGTCGAAACATTGCTCCAATGGATTAATTCTTTACCCACCTCGTGATGCACGTCTAATCAACGAAGAAAATATAATTAAAAGTGATAGATAGGATGCAATCAAAGACATTAAGCGACTAAAAAGAGTGTGAAGTAACAATGGGATGAATCGTTTATGTGTGTATGCGTACACTACCTAACCACTTTATCGATCTATTTTCCTCTTCTGCGTCATTCTGGCTTGTTATTAATATTAGAAAAAAGAGTAATTTTGCTATGATGAGCGATATTACTATTACTCATGTACTGCAATATTTTTCGTTATATGTTACTTCTCTGTGTGAAGTATGTTTAGGGTAGGCGTATTCCAATTCCGCACTACTTAATACCTGCTTAATACCACGCTTTCCTGGGAAGATAGCAGCACTGAATTGATGCATTACTAGGCCCCATCAAAGTAGGATAGTTATGCTTTCAGTCATCTCTACCATGTGTGAAGAAGTGGAATGCCTGCCACGTCCCTCAAGGACTGATCAAAAGCAAAAGTATTGGCCTCTTAAAGTATGTCTAGCTTGTCAAACACGAAGTCTGGTTGTCTCACGTAACCACTAGAAAAAAAGAACAAGAAGGGGCGATGCACTTTTTTATAGATTTTGGTGATTTATATGATGAGCTTCTTGCTTCTGTTGTGTCGGACTGGCATGTCCTTCCAGACACGTTTGATACACTATATTATATTCATGCATCCTGTGTTGGAGGTTCTTGCGCCTATAGACAGTGTTGACCGTGGCTGATCCTTTTTATCACCAAGGCTCCCATCTACATAACACAAAGTTTTGTGGAATGAGTTTGTCCATAATGCTCGATAATGCGTTCCTAAATAATTACAACAATGATTTTAGTGGTTTCTACCCTTCAATTTTGAATTTTGTCAAGAGTTCTTTGCATTTTGTTTTTCTTATTTTCAATATAACGAGTCAAATCCATCACGTTTCAAATTAAAACAGTAAGATTAAGAGATATTTGGCACTGCGAAGGAAGAAGTTGAGCGAAATGGGCTGGGAGTTGCTGGATTATCCGTCGTACAGTCCTGATTTGTTGCCGTCTGACTATCACCCCTTCTGGTAGCCGGGAACTTCCTGAGCGAGAAGAGTTTCCGAGATATCAATCATCTGCGTCAAGGATTGACATCTTTCTTCGAGTCCAAGCATGGCGAGTTCTATGAGCGTGCTCCTGATTTGTTAGCCGGATGGGAGAAAGGAATGTGATCAGACTGATGGCGCATACTTTGAATAATGTTGTTATGCAATTAGAATTACTTCTGGTTCACAAACTTGATGTTTATTACTCAGGTGCCAAAACTTTTGAAAAAACCTAATATAATCAATTTTTTTTGTTATTTTCGATTGACAATCTTTTGATCTCGTCTTTTAGGAACATAATTTTGTGACGCGAAAATTTCTTGCATAATGTCATAGTCAGATTGAGAACAAATACATAAAATGCTGTTTTCTTGCAAAGCCATGGTTGGGTAACTTTCAAACTGACGTAAGTAGGGACATTTCATGTTTCTCGAATGATAGAAAAAGCTCCATCTCTCGTCAGCGTTAATATTTCTCTTAAATAAGCGAAAAAGCTTCATGTTTCCTCAGAGACTTATGTCGAGAATAAGGACATTGTATTGCAAATCAGTCTGCAATAAAAAACACAATTTTTCAAGTGCTGTAGTTAGCAAAATATATGGAAATCCACTAAATTGGGAACACAAAAGCGGCTGTATCTCGACGGCTGATCCTTATTTCACATTTATCAACTAGCTTACGTCTCGTGGTCAAATGTGTTTTGAATGTCAGCAGACCAATGCGCTGCGATCTTCAATTTCCACCAAGATCTTTTGAGACCGAAAACGAGCTCTGAATTTCTATTCTGAAGCCATGCTAACATCAATCCACTCACTCTAACTCGCGATGGCTATTTGGCTTTTTGTACAAGTTTCTCCTTACTTCAAGAAGTAAATCTTGCGGAATGTCAACAAACTGAAGATGAGAAGGTACCGTCACGACTTCTTTGCGAAAACGGATCAGTCAACCGCACAGCAGTCGGTTATCAATGAATTTCGTCAAGATTTTGTCGTCGTATTATCGTTCTCCATGTGATCATCGCACTCGCAATCGTTAGAGAAATTTCCTCATCACATAAAATAAGCATTTCAATATGAAATTGAAGGGCGTAAAGAAGAATAAAAAGAAAAGACAGTAGGAGAGCTGACTGATCAAATAAGAAAGTAACATGGAACGAAGAGGAGCAGCATAAAGAAAGGAAAACAAAGAAAAAGATGAGTGAACTTGAGAGTATAGAGGAGACGAGCAGCAGTCGTATAATGCTTTGAAAAGGAGAACAAGACAAATTAATTGAGTAATGGAGTGTTGCAATAGATTCTCACGTGTTATACAACCCCCATGATTTCATGAATCAGTAACTAGTGTAGCAAAACCAGTGTTGTTGATAATTTTGATCGCCATGTACGAATTGGATTAACGTTTCTGAGGCGGCATAGTCATTGAGGTAAAGTCAGTGAGATGAAGTCAAACAAAGACATCTCATTGCTTACGAATAAGTGTTTGCATCACTCACCGATAAGAAAATGTCGAAGTAAATGTCACGATGCACAGATGAAGGATAATGCCATCTTGCCGTTAGTTAATCTCCTTTAGAGAAAGGCTTTTTTTAGGGCTGATTCTAGAAGCTGATGGATTTTTCTAATGCCATGAATATCATCACCTCATAAGTATTCTGCTGTATTCATGAGCTCACAGAAATTGATAGCAAATTTTTTTTGTCAATAAAGTCTCGGCGCCTTCGTTCCTCTATGTAGCCGCAAAATTACAAGTTGATCGTTCTTGCGATGTAGATCTTTTT